TCTTGATAACTTATTTATACAGCAGTAGATAGCACGTACATCGCTAACTGTAAATATGCATTTGGATAAAATAAAAAAAAAACTGTTACCTGATAAACAAAAAAAAAATCATGTCATTCTTATTTATAGATATTATTGATATTTTTCATTTTTACTTTAATAATTCAAAATTTTTTTTTTCTTTTTTAATTATGAAGGTTTGAGAAACTGAATGAAGCAGCAATAGACAATGTCATCTTTGATATAAGGTTCATATTCATGGAATACATTGTGAGTCACTGAAGAGGATAACACTTTTCAGCTGCACCAATAAAATATTAATGATCAGTCATAAGTTCAATGATGCCATTTTGTTAACATAGACCAAGTGCAAAATTATGGAAGTCAGAAGTAAACACCAAGTGTAGCTGATAAATAGAATACTGAGTGGAGAAACTTTCATTTACAATAGTTGATTTTCTATATCATTATATCCAGTTTGTCTTCTGTAACATGCAAAAACATACAGAGTAAAAGCAGTAATTTTGCAAGATTATTAGAAACAAAAATTGACCAATTTTTAAGAAATGAATAATCTATTGTTTGCTTCATAATTTGAATATCTTTAAGTTTTATATCTTAACAAAAATTATGTATACTTTTATAAAAATCTATCAAAAAAAAATTCATTTCCAATTCAAACAATTCCTCAGTAAACAGTTTTGATGTATAGAAAAGTTTCAAGTTTTTAACAATCATCTGGTTGGCTGGTTGATTCTTCAGTTATTTTTAGATGTGTGATGTACAGAAAATAGTTTAATATATTTGTTTATAATAACATTAATAGAATGTTGTGGTCAACATTTCTTTTTAATAGTGATAATGCATCATGAAGATGAGGTTTTCCTGATAGCTGTACAATATTCTCAGTGATTTTGAAAATTTGTTTTTATATTATTAAAGGTTTGAAAGTTCATGATGCTTTTTAAAGGAAAAAATTACCAAAAGATTTAAATCTTAATTAGTATGTTCTTGGAAAATTACTTTTTCTTTTTAAATACATTTTTAATGGTAGAGTATTGCTTTGCTTTTGGTTAGGCAAAATGTCAAAAGACATTTTTATTGCTTGGTTTTAAAAATATCTCAACCTGATTAAAGATTTAAAAGAATTTCTCAATTATAAAAGCTATAGAAAATTATTTATAAGGGAATCAGTCCAATATCTTTTCAGCATACCCTCATATGTCTATGCTTATATATAAATAGTTCTTCTCAAATGCTTTAGTTTTATACTAGAAAACTGTATGCATTAAAAATATTCTATAACATGATGATTTATAGTTTTGATGATCTGATTAATCTAAGTAATTATTAAAACCTCAGCAATGTTAATGAGAAAACATTTTTTATGTGTGTACATGATTAGGATTTCAAAATATAATCAAACTTCATATTTTTCTGACAAAGTAAAAACGTTTTTGGAAAATCATTTTCTACCCAAAACATTCTGAAAAGATTAAATTCAAAAAGAACAAAATTGAAAGAGTTAAAACTTGACAAAATTGTGTTTGACATATTTTTCTGAATTTAGTAACTTACATTTCTAAAATGAAATCTGCAGATAGTATGACCTTATTGAAACATCAAATTTTATAAATCTATTTGCATTTGACCTCATATTAATGGACTTACATGTTATCCTTTTAATTTACTTATCTAAAAAGAGAATTTAAAAAAGTTCTTAGTATTTGTGAGAATATTATATAACCTATCATATCTGATAAATTCATATTAATGGACTTACATGTTATCCTTTTAATTTACTTATCTAAAAAGAGAATTTAAAAAAGTTCTTAGTATTTGTGAGAATATTATATAACCTATCATATCTGATAAATTCTTGAAAGAAAAAGTACTTCATAGATCTCATTTAGTTTGATTTAAACCAATTAATTAGAAAACGGAAAATTCAATTTTAATTAAAGAACATAGGAAGAAATTAATGAATTTAGATTGCATTTTAAAACAGTACCTAATTCCAGAGACTGGAAAGAGAATTAATTCATATAGAATAGAAAGAAATTGAATAATTTTAAAGGTTGTTGACAAGAACTCTGGAGCAGAAAAGAAAGAATAAACCCAAAAATCAATGTTTAAACAAGAAAGGAAAAATGGAGGACTGTAAAGATGAGATGCAAAGGGGTAAAGTTTAACTAAGAAATGAAGATTAAAATTTGTAATGTGACAGTTCACACCTAGAATCTTTAAAGGAAAACCAATAGGTAAATCAGGTTTTTTTTTAACAAAGCACATATTTCAATTAAAAGTATTGTGTACATAGATCAAGCACCAGTCACCATACACCTGAGAGATATAGTGAAAATATGTAGCAAGAAATTATAATAGAACAAATAAATATTGTACAATTCAAAATTAAATAAGTGAGGAGATATAGATTTACTTCAGACTTGACCTCATATTATAAAAAATAAATAACAGAAGCATTGACTGATAGTAGGTAAACTTCATTTATGAATATATACAGAAAATCTGCAACTTCATTGCATATTTTTAACTTGCCACAGATAAACTGTTTAGAATAAAAAATAAATTTAAATTTTCAAAGGTATGTTTTAAAGACAAAACCCTAACACTACATCATATTACAAATCTTTAGAATTATATTCTCACTATTCTTGAAGAGAAATCAGTTGGCCTGCTGCAGTAATTCTAAGTAAGAGAACATAGACTACTGAATATTCCTCATTCTTCTAAAACTCTTGATTATGATCCTTCAGTTTCTTATGCTTTCAGATAAACTAATAAAATAAAAATATCCAAGAACATTGGAGAATCACTTCCTTCAGTTTGATTTGCTCCCAAATAAATTTAGAAAAAGAAAATCCCTTTCAGCTTCTCTAATAAAGATATAAATTATAAGACGAATTTACTGAAAGTGAAAAATTCAAATTTGACTGATGTAATGACAAGATAAATCAGTTAAGAGGGTTATAATATAGATTTGAAGTAGAAAATATCATGCCTTTGTTCCCCACACCTACAAATATTTTATCTACCCTAAAATATTAAAATAAAATTAAGAAACATTAAAACATTAAATACACTGATCAATTTTTTTATCAAACATTTTCCTGGTATATATATATATATATATATATATATATATATATATATATATATATATTATTTTCATTAGTTATTATTAATAGCTTACACACTTAATTTGGATTTTAGTATTGATACCTCTGTATTTATATGGGTGGCAATTTTCATTTTCTTCTTTTTACAAGGATATGAGCATAAAATAAAATTATTTTAATTCATCATTTCACTAGTTTTGTCGAATAATTATTTCTTTTCTTTGAAAATATATAAATATAATTTATATAAAACATAAAAGAAAATTTTTGTTATGTAAATATTTTAGAATGAGTCATCAAAGTTGCTTAAAAAGATGTCAGGGACATTTTCTGGATCCATTCTGGTTTATTTAGAGTATTTATTTTAAAGAGGCTGCAAAATATCCTAGTTTCTGATGAGCAACTACAATGTTTGATTTATTTAATAAGTTAAACAGAAACCTTTTTGTCTTTCTCCTTAAAGGACATATTCTGGTTGCAAGATATTGTTTCATTAATTAACTATATGAGAATATTTGAAATCATTAAGCAATCCATAAAAATAAAGAGATAACAAGACAGTCTATTCCCAATCAAATTCCTCTGAGTAATTGAAGGAATGAGTCCATTTCTCTGCATAAGAGAAAAAAAAAAGAGAGGCAGGTGGCAACAAAGACAAGCCAGTCTGTTGATGTTGTTTCATATAAATATTTCAAATCAAGAATCTAACACAAAAACATGATTTTAATACTTAGACAACATTTTTATAATTTATAAATGTAAGATGATTGCTGAGAAGAAAAGTAAATCTAAATAGAAGTGGGGAAAATAAATTACAGAGGGAAATACATGATAATTGGAACTGAATTTAAATATTTTTATATTGGAGAAAATCCAAAGACAAAAATAATACTCTTTGTCAAAAGCTTAATTAATTTTAATGCTAGATTCATAAAAATAAAAAGATTGCTCTAACTCCTGGAAGTTACCAAGTAAGAATATTAATAAATAGACAGCAAGATAAAAAAGCTGAAAAGAATTTTCAGTTTAAAAAATGTATTACTAGTATTTTGTTATTTTCTCTGATAAAAAGAAGAGTACAAATATAGATTTACTACCCTAACAAACTGAGCATGTTACTCTTATAACATTAGTGACTGTAAAAGTAGGCAAAAAAAGTATAAGTATTTTTGATACCTGCAACTTGTTAAATAGGCTAATTCTTCCAAGCAGAATTTTAAAAATTTTAAAAATATTAAATAAATAAACATCTAGAAAACAATTGTAAAATAGTTAAAACATTTTAAACATCTAATTGTAAATGAAATACAATAAATGTACAATATTATATAAGAAGTAAATTTGTAACATTTTTTTTTTTTTTTATTCCTGACCAGTCCTTTAATTACCACTGGTAGCATTGGCTAAATGTAAAAAATCTGTCAATAAGTGAAAAAAGAAGAATTTTTTTTTTAAATTGAAAATGATCAATCCATATATGAAATCAGAGATTAATATTTTCTTATAAATATGGCATCTTTGGACTTAGATGGTAAAAGTGTAAAGTCAGTGGAAAAAATGTAAATTGTCATTTAAGCAGAAAGGAAAGAGTTTTGTCTACAACTTGGTGCAAACTACTGTTAATCATTTACTTACAAAATTGTAGGAACATTAAAATTTTCTTTAAACTGCATCAATTTTAAAATAATATCACTGATTATACTGAGTGGGTTTTAAAAAGAAAAGAAATGACATGCAGAAATGCACATTTATTCTACCTATTTCCTTCTTTCAAAATAAAAACTAAACCGTTCACACTCATCTTAGAAATATTCTATTTCTCTGTTTTTATTCAATACTGTTTCTCTTGTCCTTTTGCTTTCATAGATTTGGAGCACTTCGGTCATTCGTCTTTGATTTCTTTAGAGCAGTCTTGTTAAAGTTGCATATAGAGCCAAGCAGAGCAGAGCGACCACTTGATGGAGGTGATGAGTTTCTGGTGTCCCCAGAGGCTGGCAAGGGTGTCAAAGATTCTATAGTTGATTCTACAGCAGTTGGAGGGGACACTGATCCTGAGAAAAAAGTTGACTTCAAACCAGCTGAAGATGGAGGAGACAAAATTCCATTGTCTGAATAAAATAAATGTTAATTATAGTTATTGTAACATCAACCACAAAGTAGCAGTCAAATAATAATACATTTCAGTTCAGTTTATTGTTTATATTTCTGAGGATAGCTTTTTGTGGTCACTTCATTCAGAAATGAAAATAAGAGCAATTTATACAATTTCAAAGAATTAGCTTTATTACATATTGTGAAATGTAGCTAATTCAGTGGTATATAAAAAGCAGAGTAGCTTTGAAAATTTCTTAATATAAAGGAAAAAAATATCAATGATATAGACTCATTAAAAGAAATATTAAAGATTTTTGGATGATGGTCATAAGTACAAAAATGATCAAAATTTGAAACTTTTTAAAATTTTACTTTCTTATTTGTTTTGTACTAGCACAAGTGTAAAGTATAATTTATTTTGATAAGACATCAAAATAAAATGTTAATGCTTGTTTGAATGTACAGAGAAAATAATTATATGTTCCAAATGACTTTGTTATGGGACAAACAATACGGAAATGATTCAACTTATACATTAATAGATAAATATATAGATAGTACATATCACCAAATTTAAAACAAGAAAGCCATGGAGAAGTAAATACCAATTAATAAGTATTAAAAGGAAATTGCAATTGTCATTATGTGTGTTCAAAAGTTTCCAGGAAAACTGGTTTTCAACAGTGTATTAAGTAGAGTTAAAAAAATTAAAAAGAGTGAGAGAGTTGAAAAAAAATTAAAAAAAGCTATTTTGGGTTTTATAGGTCAAAGTTTTAGTATTTTTTATTTAGAAAAAAAGATTTTGATAAATAATTAATGAGGTTGATTTGTATTTTATAAATGAGTGAATATGATATATCTTTATATATGAGAACAATGTTAGGTAAATTAATGACAAATTGGAAAAAAATTTTGTGGAACATTTTGTTGTTTAGAACTTCATCAGACTAAAGTAATGTCTTTGTTGATAGAATTATATATGTGAAGGAAGAAGAGTGGTGGAAAAATTTAATAAAATGCAGATTTGTTTTTTTTTATCCATTCCTTAAATGCGACAAAGTTCAGGTCAACAAATGTCCATATACTGTACTGCAATGGTTAGCATTAGTGTTAGTGAAAGCATTTGACGTACCAAAATTAGCTCTGTTCAACTAATATAATCTATATATAATACCACACGTTTGACTTGAACATCTTATCAACCATAAGAATGAATAAACACTAACATTTACAATTTTTATTATTTATTTTTTCAGGGTATGTACTGTGTATATCTTTATAAATTATTTACATCTGCAGTTGCTTATATGAAAGAGTTCTGAAAATTCTCAACCTAACCTACTTCCTAAAATGACCAAACATGACATTCTTGTTAGGTCTGAGTTGTAAAGTGCTATAGTTGAAAAATGTCAAAAATGTATGGCAACTGATATAGTTTAACAACCAAAAACAAAAATGAAAAAAAAAAAGTCATCTGAAATATCACTTTTAGAGGATGCTACATGGCAAAAACGCTATTTTACATTTTGAAATCTTAAATGAATATTTGATAAAAATCAAATATTCATTTAAGATTTCAAAATACTATAAATCAAAAAGGAAATTTTTGTTGATTTTTATATAAATAAAAGCCTATGTAATATTTTGTTTCTTTTTTTTTTGTCAGCAGTCACATTAAAGCAAACAGATTATATGTAAGTCTCATATCTTCAGCTGGCACTCTGAAGAAATGTAGCAACTTTTATTGCATTTGAAGTATTGCACTTCCTTGTGTGCTGCTTATGTGCAACAGACATATTGATACCATCAGTATATGAGCAAAGACAACGGAGTCAGAATATTTGTAGCAGATGATGTTGCCACACTGATTGCTGGTAGAAATTGTTTCGGCTTTAATGGGTACTGGCCAAGCTTCTGCCACAACTAGTTTTCATCTTTCAATATTGTCTGGATTTTAGCCAGGTTCACAGTCATTGAACTCAACAGGTATTGCTGCTACAAATTTGTACACCAAATTGTATTTGGAGATCTTTCTGAATATTATTGCAAACATTTTCAGCTCTTCAAGATGTACATCCATGGAGTCGCCTCAATATTGTACACTGAATTGTTCATAGGCCATTAACAAGTGTCACAAAAGCGTGTGTAGGGTATTTTTTTTTATCCTCACTCAGCTGTTTATAAACAGCAAATGAACCAGTCACTTTCTCCCCTCCCCAACTGAGGTCCACCTTATCAACCCATTTGATTACAGACTGGGTAGTTGCCATGCCATTAAATTCAGGAATCAGTTTCATATTAAACTGTGTGCCATTCTTTTAGAGGGTTGAAAAAGCTTATCATAGAAAAAAGTAAAACACACACACACACACACACTAGCAGTTGTTCTCCCTTACACAAGCTTTATATCTACAACCACAAGATTTAATTCCTCTTCACTAACAACAAAAATTGTTGCTTTTCCGACATCAGAATTCTATTATACTCCTCAGATAGAAGTTCTGTTTATTATTATTATTGCAAACAATGTACAGCCTACTTGATGTCTCTTTAAATGCTAACTGGTACATCCCTTATTTTTAGTTGTGCTTAAATTTAGCTGTAAATACTTGTAAAATTTCCATGAGTACAAATAGTACAAATATCCTAAATTACAAGGATGCTCTATGAAATTTTTATGTGTAATGGTTATAGTATTGTAAACAGTATATATATACAAGTATAGAAATAGGACAAGTTATGGTTGAATAAACCGATTCAAACATTTTTATAAATTTGGGTGGGGGGGTGAGAAGGAAAATTAATTTTAAACTTAATAGGAAATATAACAAAGAATAAACTTTTTTGAAGGCTTTAAGAATTTGCTTTTCATTTTTGGCCAAAAGTTGGAGGAATCAAATTTAATCATTTTGGCTCTTAGATCATCACCCTTTCATCTGTTGATATGTGGTAGACAAGTTCTAATAATAAAAGAGATGCCGATGGATTTGTTTGTTGATGTGTCAGTTACTGAATGAAAATGAGAGGCCAGATAGAAAGTTGCTATAAAATACAATGCAGTCATTCTGAAATGACTATTTTTTTTTAAATTATAATTCCCTCCAAATTTCTGGCATGAGGAATTATTATTTACATTTGGATTAATGTCTACATCACATCTGATTGTACTAAACATGTATAAACAAATCTGTTTCATTTAAAAAATATATGATTAAAATTGATCAAAAAATTATTATTTGCTATGAGGGGAGGCTGAAAAGTTTTTGGCCACAGAATTCAGAAAATTTTCCAGTACTCTCATGTTTTTGAAATTCAAATTACTAACAAATAATTTTTTGATCAATTTTAATCATTCATTACTGAATAAAAATATAATAGATAGCATTTTCGTGATTAGAAATTACCAAAATTTGCTGATTACTAAATCAAACAAAAATATTAGCCCAAGCAAAATTTGTTAGATTTTAATGGTTCCTGTAAAAAAAAAAAAAAAATAGTTTATGGTATTAATATCAATTTTAACAGCATGAAAAATTAATTCATGCAAAGAAAGAGTTAAATGAAAAAGTGAAGATAGAAATTTCATTCCAGATCAAAGTTGATGGTAAGAAAGAATAAGTGGGAAAAAAAAGAAAAAAGAAAAAAAAAAAAAAGAGGAACAAAAATAATTTTCAATTTTCATTCCTTGATGGGGATTATTTCATTATTAGATAAATTATAAGCATGAACATTTTATTAAACAAAATAAAGTTAAAATTATTTAGTTTAAAATAGATTAACTACATTTTATTATTAATTAATGATGCTAAAAAGTATAAAAATTTAGTTATAAGGCCACTTAAAAAAGGCAAATCTGAAAAAAAAGATTACATTAAAAGTATCAATTTTCAAAATCTTAAAACTAAACCTAAGTCATCTATGAAACAATAATCTGGGTTGTAATATTCTTTCACTGCTTAAGAAAACAATGTAACATCACAAAGATGTAATGAGTTCAAGTCTTATCAAGGTATTTCTTTATTTCCAACTATTTCCACACTTTATATGAATAGACAGAGTGTATGCCAACTTAGAATGTTGCTATAAAAAGTAACAATGTCATTATTAGATATGAATTAAAGCAAGATTTATTTTTTGCATGTGACTAAATTTGTTTTTATTTGAAGTTGTTTTTCAGTGGTTGGTATTTTCTATAATCTCTATCTTTTTTGAAGGACTTCTACAATGTAAAGCAATTCAGTGCGAACTTTACATTTTAGCAGATAAGAATAAACATAATATGAAATAAAACCAAAGCAAAACATTCTGCTTCAAAAAATCATTCAAATGATGTTTTTAATGTACAACTCCCTTGTTTTATCTGCAGACAATGTAATATACAAAAGTCATTTCCAAATGTAAAGAATTTAAACTAAACTTCCTGTAATAGCACTCTTAATAATGAATGATACTGAAAGTGATTTAACATGAAAAAAAATCAACAAAAAGGCAAAGCAAGCAGACAATAATCAATAAAAATTTTGATGACATTAGCTGCCATTTTCATAATTGCATCAAGAGATTTTAAGAAGCCATGCAGAGCAGCAGTTATTTACAGTTAGCATGAGACTTTGTTTGGCTATATTCTTATAAAATCTTAATAACTTAGCTATACTTAATTTTATTTAAACACACTAATCTTATGAACATGGCTAACAATATAAAAACAGAAACCTGAGCTAATTTCACGCTTAATTATTCTTACTAATACCTGAAACATGCTGAACTGTTTAAAGACAATTGAAAGAGGAATATTTGCTCTTTCGTCAAAATAACTTGAAGAATTTGATTATTATCCAAGCTGCATTGCCTTGATTATTCTATTGTAGACACGAATATAAACAAAAGAAAATGTGTGCTCATTTACAGTGCTACAGGCCAAGTTTTAGTGATATAAAGTTCATTAGGTACAGAGTGAGTTCCAGAGTCTGGTTCAGAAAACGTTTTTGTAAATGTGCAAGAAAATATTTGATGT